AAAAATATTACAGACAGTCGTCGCGCCACAGGTTTTAATTAAGATTGCAATTTCACAGAAGATTGTTTTGAAATTTTGTCAAATTTTGTCAATAACTGTACAAATTAACGAAGACACACCGTCATCTTACACATAAAATATCCGTTAAATAATTACAGCGGAGCAAACAAGCTTGTGTTAGTTACGTTAGATAATAACCACTAAGGAACACGGCTTACATATCACCATATCTAATTACCAGTAGGCCAGTTACAAGCAACTGTTCCCAGAATACCGAGCCGCGAAAGCATCTCGTGTATCAAACAAACAAACAAACGGAAACAAAGCGACCTGTATCGTTGCACTTATTGTAAATATTTACGGACGCACTGTTGTGTTACCGACTCCGTAAACATTCGGGGAGTGAGCTGTCTGTTTTTTTTTTCTAAACGTATGTACGCGCCGGCTTAGGCAAAAAAAAGGTGAGTGCGCCATAAATGTTGAAAGGGTTCCGTGTACATTTTATTTACTATAAAGTTCAAAAGAAAATATTTTACTCTACGTTACAAATTATTCCATTGATAACGAGACACTACTGCTAATATAATTATCGTTTTTTAAAGATAATATACTACATTGCTGGAAGAAAATCTCATTTGGAGTATTAACTTAGAGACGGTCAGGAGCCGTAGCTGTCACGCTTCCCCGATATGTAAGCAACTGCACCAAAGTGACCAGAGCTAAATGATTAGTGGCTAAACTTAACTTGAGCCACAGTCACGCTTCCTCGACAAATGAACAGCTGCACCTAAGTGAACAGAGCTAAATGATTAGGTGTATACGCATGTATACGCTATTTTTAATTATTTATTCTATACATATTCGGGACTGATCAACAACTTAGACCGTCTACTGCTGAATGGGTGATGAAAGACGCCTGGCATATTATATGGAAAGTGATTCCGCTATCTATGTGAAGCTAATAATACTGATAGTAAAAAAATTATCCGCGAGCAAAATTATCAGAAATTATTAAAAGTAAAAATTACGTACAATACCTCTGAAAATATATTTTTTGCTAATTTATATCAACAGATATTGGGTCAAACTGGATTCAGTAATATAATAATATAGTTAAAATATAGCTCAATATTATTTTTTACAAATTTCATTTATTTTGGTTTTTATATATTTTTTTTTAAAGATAAACATTCCATTACACATGATTTAACATAGCGCACGACAGAACTCTAAAAACAAAAAAATTAAGACGGGAAGCAATGGAGGAAGAAGTTGTTTACATTGACGATTTATTAATGGTGTGTATTGGAGATACTCCATATCCACGATACTCCATTCATACACCATGTTGAACCGTTCCTTATCGTGAAAAAAAAAATCGTGTTCATCTCGAGAAAATTCATGTTGCTTGTTAGTATAAATAAATAAATGCACGATCTAATGAATAGCAATCATATAAAACTAGTTTTACGGATTTTATCGCGTATATTAACTTATTTTATATTCCCGATGTTTCTGAGTACAGATACTGTAAGTTTATACTGCGTAGATCGGAACAAAAATTAATAATGTTTAATCTGGAGGTAGTCGTAAAAATATAAATGTTTACTTAGCCGTGGTTAACTATGACATTGGGACGTCATACACCTAACACCTCAGTCCCCCCCCCCCTTCCCCTTTAAATGTGTAGTATTCGCGTAAATATAAGAAATCATTAAATAGCAATCAACTTAACCAAAACCGACTCGCTAATTCCGCTCAGCTGCTTGGTTAAGTGGACATCGCTAGTGCTATTTTTCTATCTTCGTGTTTTTGGCACTACAACCCCAGCTTATTACCCATAATCCCATAAGCATGCACAGGATACATTTACGAGGTAAGTTAGAATTGGGTGTGGCAAAATAGGTACATATTCTGCGCAATAAACTTATACTATGTAACTTCGAATTACAATCAATAATTGCGAAAATTGGCCAGGAGAAAGTATTATCTGACTGAGAGACTGAGCTTTACTCTGCGTCACAAATAAAACGAGTTTTCTAAGGGATGACAGTTATCTAAATAATATTGGAAAGTAAAACATTATCTAAATACAAAATTTCGTCCAAATAGATTAAAATATCTATTTAAATTTTAACTGACACAAACTTTATAGAACTTCCCAAAAACATCCTAGTTTTAAATATCATTCCATGTACAAAAATATGCTATGGTAGTGCCGACAAGGGCCTGAATTACAAATTTTGGAGTTCAGAGGTTATATCGCAAACTCAATTTTGTAAACCGAATTCATTAATATTGGAATTTCTCGTCGAATAGAAATTTGCTTCCACAATTTGCTACGTAACTTTTGGCTTACACAAATGACGAATTTTGATTTAGTGAACAGATTATTAAATTAAGGGGTAAAGTTACACAAAAAGCATTTTGTAAATCAAGCAGTAATAATCTGGAATTTAGGATTGAAATCCTACACTAAATCAATAATAATAATCTACAAATTTGTTAAACAATATTCTTAGCGATCTCCTTAAACGGACTTAATAGTATCTTTTCTTTTTTTAGGATAAATGTAATAAAAGAGCACACAGTTCACCTGATGTATTCTGTTGCTTGTAGACATCTGTATCTATCCACTATTAAGGATCAATATTCACATGCGTTGTCATCCCTGACGACTAAGAAGGAATGCCTCATTTCTAGTAAAAGGTTATCCGATTCTCTACACGCACCATACTAAACATAGCAGTATCTGTGAGCGTGTGGTCCTTTCCCGATCGAGCCGACCCATTAATGTCCCAACCATAATATAGCTGCTGCATAGATCTACCACGTACAAATATTGACATGGTTTTATATCTTATTTTAAAATAATAAAAGATATGTTTAATGATAATATTGTTTAAGCTTCTAAATAGTTTTGATACACAGTAACGATCTCACACTAATCGTTTTTCTTCTTAAAATATAAAAATTTTCAGATAAGTACTAGTTTATATAGCATTTTTGCTTCAGAAGCCAGTAAACTAGTTAAATGATAGTTTTCAACAAAGTGCAGTTATATTTTATTATATAAAATAATGCTGACAAACGAGCACACAGTGCACCTGATGGTAAGTGGTTGCTGTGGCCCATAGACATCTACATCTATCTTCGTTTGCGAATTAAAATGCAGATGCGTTGTCAGCCGTGAGGACTAAGAATGCCTCTTTTCCAGTAAAAAGGGTCCCGGTTCTCTACACTCACCATGCGAAACACACATTTTACGCTGGTATTCTGTGAGAGCGTGGTCCTTCCCCGGTCGAGCCGACCCATTCGTGCTACAACTATACTATTAATTAGCTGTTCCCCGCGACTTCGCCCACGCGTAATTCATTACGATTGGATTTCATGGGTTTTAAGTTTTTGCGCGGAACCCTAATTCTTTTTCTAAAATGAAAGTAGCCTAAGTTAATTCTTACAACATTGGCTATCTGCCAGTGAAAGCCCGGACAAAATCGGTCCAGCCGTTTCGGAGATTAGCGGGAACAAACAGACAGACAGACAGAACGACAAACAGACAAAAATTTAAAAAATAGCGTTTTTGTTATAAGTACTATATATACTTTCATATGCATATAGTAAAAAAGCTGTTATTTCAACATTACAGACAGACACTTCAATTTTATTTATTTGTATAGATAAAGCTGCAGCATGACTCTACCACGTCTAAATCTATCTATATAGTATTTATATATAGTATTTCGCCTATTTAAACGTGTCACAAAGAAAATTCTACATGAATGGATGGTTTCATACATACTCTCGAAATAACCCATTAATTAATGAGGGCATCCACGACTTTTTCTGCCACAATTATACGTTGTGTAACAAAAAAACTTTACCTCGGTGTCAACTAGCGACATCTGGTGAGCAGAAAATTAATAGCCCTCATTACAATGAAATTGATTCCAAGCTTTAAATTGCTTATCCAATCCAGTGGATTTCAGTAACGTTAAGTTTAAGTTAACTCCCGTTCAACTTAAGTTTGACTCGTAAGACGATTATCAGTCTTGTGAAAATCGATGTTGACACTTTGTTATCTATTACTATTGTATATTAGCTGTTCTCCGCGACTTCGCCCGCGTGTTTTTTGGGGTTTTAATTTTTTGCGCGGAAACCTAATTCTTTTTCTAAAATAAAAGTAGCCTAAGTTACTCAGGTTCAGTTTGACACGCACGTGATTATATAGGGTAATGGATATACTTACACCTATACCTTATTCTTACTATATTCAGAATTTTCTTGGTTCCTGCCCAAATGGTTATAGAGAAGAAAAAAAATACTTTGGTTTAAATTTTATAACACTTTTTCGTGATTTCTTACCACCTTCGGTTATGAGGGTTTGAAATTTCTTCGAACCCTGATTTTGAGCGGTTCCATGGACCCAAAGCCAAAGCAGCAAAAATGCGGCTGTACATCACGCTGCACAAGGTTCATAGTAAGTCCAATCGCAAATGGAGTACTGTTGCCATATATGGGCTGGTATTACAAAATGCTACCCAGAAGTTTTGTACTCAGTGTAGAAGTTTAAAAACAAAAAGTTCTTCCCGATTTGACTTAATCCCTTTGTTGTAGATCTCCCACGCGTTCGAACTAAACGGTTGCGTCATTCGTAACGCAAAGAAGTGGAATGGTTTGTCAGGGTCTATCGTTCCATAAGACTACAACGTGTGTCTTCATAAGAGTCAAGAAGTCAGTGCGACATAATATGATAAGTCGAAAAATCTCATTTAATCCAAAGAACAAACTTAATTTAACTAGGTATCGTATGTGCTGCGTATGACAGCACATTACTAAATTCCCGTCAATCATTCTATAGCAACAGTAAAGAAAACTAATTCAAACGAGCAGTGTGAGTTTTGTTAAATGTCCAACGCTCCAACAAAAAATTGGATCTATTTCTGTTTAATTATTTTTAAATAATAAATATATGAACATGGCAGTCATATGTAACTTACCTGTGACAATAGCGGCCATTAACAAACCGAAAAAGGCGGGAAGCGCGGCCATCTTGATAAATCCACTTTTAAACATAGAACACTAAACGCACGACCGGTACGACACACACATTCACAGCAATCGAATTTCGAGCTCGTGCATAACTAGATGATGCGTTCAAAAATCACTATTTTTCTCCTTCTATAACAAAAAACTATATCCTTTCTTGTAACCGGTTTTTTGAACTGGACACTATTGCATGTATGTTCTCGCTCGCACCCGCAGATCAGTGGCAGCTATTTCACTCGATCTGTAACAAAAAATGCAACTATGTGAGGTTTCATATTATTATTTTTATAGGGGCAAGGTGTTCCTTAAATTATTCAAGGGATTACGTAATTTGAGATACCCAGAATTAATGGACCTCTTAAAATGACCAGTAAAAGGCATAACTATTAGTAAAAAGTGCAGTAAGGAGATCCATTATAACCGGTAGTCATGCAGGAACATTGAACATATTCATAAATTTTGTGCAGGAATAAATTTAAGGACTTGGGTACGTTTTTAACAAAGCTGTATTTTATAATGTCAGTTAACATAAATCATCATGCGACATTCAAAATTTATTCTAGCCATCTTTTACTTCATTTTTCATTTCACGCGAAATATATTGAACGTATATGAATTCTTGTTACTTTATTAAACCATCCCACTGTTATAGAACATTTTTTTATTCTATTTCATTTTAAAAAATAAATGAGAAACGTGTTTTCGTTATCCTATTCTTTTACTTTTTTTACAGTGTAGTGGCGGTGTAAGAATATCCACTACCCCATATCGGCCTATGGGATTCGATAGGAAGCGTATCTGGGCTGGCGAGGAACCGTTGTTGGACGTAAGGACACGAGAACGCGAGGAGACATTTAAGCTCTGGCGAGGGCGCTGGGAATCCGGTGAAACCAGGCGGTTGACTCATAGGCTTATTGGAAGAGTCCGTGACTGGGTCTTACGGGGAGATGGAGAGATATACTACTACCTCACACAATTCCTTAGTGGATACAGACAGTTCAATGCCTACCATATGAAAATCCGAAACGTTCCTAATTGCGTGTAGGTACTGTCCGGGCATTGTTGACTTCATTGAGCACACATTCTTTATCTATCAGCTCTGGTCTGAACCACGCCTACGCTAGCAGAGGGAGAATAGGGTGCCTCTGAGTTCGTAAGAGGTCGCGTTCCTTGGACGTTGGCAACGAATGACAACTGGACGACAATGACAGGGTATGTAAGGGAGGTTCTGCTGATGAAGAAGGAAGAAAAAGAAGAAGAAACGGAGGAGTAGTCGCGTAATGCAGCGAAAAGGAGTACCAGCACCATGAAATAATGCTAACGCGGTCCCGTGGTGCTGGGTATTTAAGAGATAGTTTTTACCACCATCATTCACACTACCGATCTTACAACAACTTGACGGTGTCTTTTTAAAGATTTTCTTATCTCTCTCTAATTAAAAAAAACACATCGGCCAGTGGGAGTAGGACTATATGATAATATTAAGTTTCTAGTTTTAGTTTTTTTTTTTTATTATCATATCATTATATTTTTTAATATTGTAGAAAAAATTAAGTATTATGTAGAAAAAAGTAAATTAAATTTAGTTCAGACAATAAGTCGAGAAAGTTTAAATGTAATCTGATAAACAGTATAGCGCAGAAAATACGAAGAAACAAAAATTAATTTTTATATATTACCTCATGCCATTATCTATCTGAAACCATAAGCTTTTTCTGGCATTACCTATACTTGGTCGATTGGTTTAATAAATATTACGACACCTACAGGACCAAATGCCGTGATGGATTATCTTTCATCCAAATTTCATACCAATTATTATTATTTTCAGGAAATTTTATTCCAAATATTAATCATTTTCGAACGGGTAATTTTTGAAATAAAGACGAGATTCACACAAAATGTAAGTCCCAAACCTTAGTGCTTTTTCTATGAAGTAAGTACATACTAAAATTTTCTTAGTTATAAATAAAGGATAAACGACTATCTAATTATGGATATAAAATTGTTGAAGCTTACAATAGTATGTAAGCTTAAAGAATTTCCTCGGAACGAATAGAGGCCAGTGATTTTATTGCAACAGGCGAGATTTCCCGAAAGCATTTCTTTGTAACATTGTTTTGAGAGGCTGAAACTTGACCTATGAATTGCCGAGTTTCCAAGGAGTTGGATTCATGCTATCGATTCCATTCTTACCGCAAAATTGCTAATGGTAAAATCTGCAGCATATAGTTTTGGATTTGAAGTAGCACATTTTATTTTTAGTGTCGTTACCCCTCACTACGATTTTTTCATGTATCGCGGCGACAGTTTAAATACATACTTTCCACAAGGACAAACATCCAGACCTGGAACAATTATTTGTAAATATTAAATTCTTGTTCCGTGCGAGATTGGAACCCGCGGCTCTTAGCGCCGTAACTCATTGCTAAGCTGTGATATCTGCGCGGACTAATTTTATTTCAAATTGCCATTTATACATTTGAAAAACCTTTGTATGTACTAAGTTATGTTAAAAGTATGAAGACTAGTGTTTATTAAAGTGTTTTTTTTAAATATTATAGTAACAAAGGAGCTATCACTTAATCTGACTGGAACCTACTACCATATTAAATTAAACAAGTTTACAGAAGATTGTCAGCCCGGACGATTATAATAAAAGAAAGAAATAAAGAAAGAACTATTTATTTGATATACACATTTTACATACATAAAAAAAATATAGACAATAGAAAATTAGACATTAAAAAATAGACATCAAACAGGTCTCCAACTCAGCATAAAGCTACAAATACAGCGCTGGTTTTCAGTTGGAGCCTTGTGACTTCACAGACAAGTCGGTGTGTGATCTTCCAACTACGAGTTATATACGAGTTCATAGTTATCTATTAACAACTCCGAGTTAAAAAGTAGTGCTAACATATTATATAAAAAAATAATAAAATGCCTTAAATAAGAACTATGGATGGATTATGAACATTAACTACTAATAAGCTGTTGTTTGATCGTAGTAGCGGTACTTCGAATACGAGTGGGTTTAAACGTTATGTACAAGATCCTTCATTACCTCTTAAAACTATAATAAGCATTATTAATGCTATATGTTGGAATATGATCTCTCCTAATCGAGATCATTCGAGAAATTCAATACGTCTTGAGTGTAACGTTCAGCAACGTGTTTCCGACAGCCGGCTCGTGAGATGGATAACAGCGACGGTAAGTAAACAACCGGACAATGTAAGCTATAAAATATTATTAGTATATATGCAACGGTTGTTAAATTACCTTAACAACTGCTCTTAAAATTTTTAAGCTATGTGAAAGGACATAATGTTTTTTGTTTTTTTATTATAGCCTTTTAGAGTTTACCGCAACAAAATAAGATACCGATACCGATGCAATAACTGCGACTGTATCGTCACAGTATTCCTTTAGTCTTACTTGATGGTTCGTTTGCAGTTCTGTTGACGTAAATATGTAAACATTTTGTGTGAATACACTATATAGTTATAATAACAATTATTATACTTATATACTCCACTTAGCATATCTAACGTTAGGCGGCACGTAATGTTGCGTTCGAAGGTAAAATTTTGGAACATGCTGACCGTAGTAGTGAATAAAATACCATTACCATTATAACCTATTAAAAGTTCAATGCTGAACATAGGCCTTACCCATATATTGCCTTATAAGAGGGTTATTTGCTAAAGTTACCGCACTTGGTAAACGGGTTGGTAACCGCAGTTTATATTTTTATTCAGCTGTTATCAGGAAGATATTGGCTCCTGGTTCAGTTTCCCTCTGCCGCCTCTTACGACACGCACGAAATGATGAGGTGCTTACACTACCACTACAGGGTGAGTAGTGATTGATTGAACCTCAAATAATCAACATCATAAAGAATCTAATTATTGACTATGTTCATAAAGCCAGTATAAAATTATGTATTAAAATTAAATTCATGTGATATTATCCAAAAATTTTATTACAAAACTTCCCAAACCAACAGGCGCTATTAAAACATCTTATTTTGTTAGCATACCCAATATAATCTTCACGAACTCAGCAAAAACTTTCCAAGAAATCAATTTTATAAGCTGTCTTCCATTAACCGCAAGAATTTTCGCGCGAACTTTGTTAAGAATAGCAGAAAGCGCCTATACGTGATGCGATTAAAATTACCTGACGTATCTTCTCGAAATTAGTTCTTAATTAAATTAAAAATTAAGGTATACATACACGTACTCGTAATGAAAGCAGGTACGGACATTTATATAAGGGAGACTGTTTTGAGAATATTAAACTTGAGATAAAAGTACCCATGTGGCTGTCATCTAATGTTTTTATATGCATAAATTGTGATTTGCTTCTTGATTCAGATCCTAAGCATTTTAACTTTGGTTTTGTTTGTTTGTTATTTATCGTAGCAGCGTTACTTCGAGTAGGTTAAAACGAGGGAAAGCCTGGCAAAGGGTGCCTACAGCCCTGAGTCAGATAACAGAAACAAACTTTTTTGTTCAATATAGATTATAAATAATACTTATTTACTCTTTTGTTTAATTAACCACAGGTTCGGAGAAAAACCTCTGTTCTGAAGAACCAGCAAAAAACCCAGCTAGACTTTTTTTAATAACAGCTTACAATCATATATAATGTAAGCTGTAAAATTCAAACTGGTTAACATCACCAACGTTTTAAAACAAAGAAATGGATGTCTACCATTGTAGGCAGAAACAGATATGTACTTACGGAACTAAAATATTCCAGTATGGCCTCGAACGCAACAAAAATTTTTTTTAAAGAAACCGTGTTCGCCAGCGAACTGTTTCTAACTTATATACATTTCGTTTGTTATACAAACTATAACACTTACACAAATTATCAACATGCCATATGGAATATTTTCACCCAACTTTGATATTATTGTGCATTAAATTTACAGCATAAAAATGCGCGGCGTAATTCAAGGAGGAATTCACACACAAACACAAACACTCACTTGTACGTACATTCAACGCACATAATATGAACGAGCGGCCGCGCCGCGCCGCATCGTGCACTTGTCGTATTTATATTAGGGTCCGTTTTGTCTGTTTATTTGTGCGTCTGCGTTGCTCCCGTTCACACGCACATGTGAATCATGCGTACAGTCAGCAACGTCAATTAAGATATTCTTTTAAATAGGTTTTTATTTAAAAACAAAAGCCTTAAAAAGTTAACTTTATAAAATTTTAAAAA